AAAGAGAATAGTCAGAGACAACCGAAATTGCGCAATGTATAAAGACATGGATCCAGACTTTGAAATGCGGCCACAGGCAACTGGAGTATTTCATAACACAGACGCTCACGGGTCACGGCTATTTTATGAAGTATCTAAATTGAATACAAAAGAGAAACAATGATGTCTGTTCAGGTGCACAAGTGCACAAGATGGCATGCAAGATGCAGGGGAGAAGTAGTAACAAAGCTGATGTGCAAATCCGCAAAAAAATTAACTCCACACTCCCTGATGATCCTTTAGGCAACGGAGGTCAGTTAGCGGATTTTTCCTTCGACTCAAAAAAAATCTAATTAAAAATGTAAATGGACCAGGTAAAAACATAAAAATAAATGTAGTTATTTTAGTACTATAATAACATACAAATTGCAGAAGGCCACATATTCCCGCACGAACCCGAAATTTGGCCACGAGTGACGAAAGAGCGAGAGGACGAACGAATGAGTGCCAGAATAGCCTACTGCATCGTGTTTCTTATACTATTTTCTAGATTTTAGATTTTTGGGTGTATCATCAGCTTTAACTGCTAAGGTTATCTCGCCTCGTGTAGTGTGTAGGCTTTGTTACTGTTTCCCAGCGCCACTTTTTGAACAGCACTGTTAATTAGAACCCAACAGTGAATGGTCGAGTGGGGAATCCTACCAAGGCATCAGAATTAATTTTAAATAATTAAATTAAATAAAAAAGACCCTTGAATCCGCAGGCAGAGACTCTACCACTGAGCCACCCACCACCCCGATTTTGAGCTTTATTTACAGTTTTTTTATTTTCGTGAAAGTTGATAGTTGGGGATTTTTTGCAAAATATGTCAGTTGGTAACATTCTAATATTTTGTACTCTACTGTTCATCATCTTTCGGGCCCAATGATAGCTTTTATGTCGAAAACGGTTGTCTCTACATTTTTCCTTTCTCATACTAAACAAGAGATTGATTGTGTCATTTTAGATAAACATTTGTTTTTTTAAATAGCAAAAATCGTAATTAAGATTTTTTAGGTTAAAAATTCTTTGTCCAACCATAATTTGTTCAAAAACGATTTGTCCAAAAACAATTTGACCAAAAATAATTAGTTCAATACTAATTATTCCAAAAATAATTTGTCCAAAAGTAATTTGCCCAAAAGTAATTTGTCCAAAAATAATTTATTCAAAAATAATTTGTCCAAGAATAATTTGTCTAAATTGTCCAAAAATAAATTGTCCAGAAATAATTTGTCCAGAAATAATTTGTCCAAAAATACGTTGTTCACAGAGAGTCTTTTCCAATAGAGTTGTCCCAGAGGACCAACAGTGTAACACAAATGGCTGTAAGCTTTTAATATTTCATTTAATGATAATTTTTTATGTAAAATATGCTCAATTAAATTTTTTATATAATACCGTGACATGATTTGATCATTTTAAACATCTTAATTTAGAAATTAAGTGAAAGTTTCTGTCATTAATCAAGTATTGCCGTATAGTTACCGAAAATGTATTGATAAAACTTGTTTGTATTTTTTAAAGCTTCCACATAAACTTTCCCTATTTTAATAACACTTTATCTTGTCACAATCTTTCATAAAACTGTAATCTCCGCACACTTATTTGGATTTTGTATAACCACTGGCACATAAGCTAAAACGGTTACTATAAATGTGTTCGTTTAAAACGTTTGTAAAAGTGCGATAAAATTCAGTTATTGTAAACATCAATGTCACTGTTTTAATACACAAAGCTATACTGAAAATAGATTATTATGAACACAGTTTAGTTTTAAGTTTCAGTTTCATATACTTAATTAAAAGACAGCTACTGCGGTTAATTGCAAAGTATTATGATAGTCAGGGGCGCGTCAGAAGGGGATATAGAGCTAGAATGCACTAAAAATGATAGGTTTATTTTTTATGAGCCTTACATTACACCTGATGAAAAATTAATAGGTGCAATTTTAATAAAATTTAATTTTAATGTTTTACGAACTCACTTTAAAAATCTTCAAACATGAGAACGACATAAGAAGCTTCAAACATGCAGTTTGTTCCAGTAATGGAACAGCATATCTGTATAGTGCTCGAAAAAGAGGAAAATAAAGCCCACTATCTCGGAAAAGGTATTCAAAATTAAATAATTTTTTTAATAAAGTTCAAAAAAATATATCCATTTTTGTCTCATCAACTTTTCGATGGACCATATTAATAAAACATGTTCAGGGACTGACTTTGAAATCCCTAAGTGATACTAAGTGTACAAATCCCAGTGGAAAATAATAAATGTTGAGTATGAAAAGAATGATGACTTTTACAAAATTATCTGACACGTTGAGTACTTGATTTTCGTTCTTTTTTATTTCATTAGTAACTAAGTACTGACTACTTTAACACTTAGGGGTTTCAAAAATCAATGGGCTATCAATTAGAAGAGATATCCTCAGAGCACAGAACACATTGTTGCCCTGATTGAGGATTATTTATTTCAAGTACGCCACTGTAGCTGCAAATCTATGTTTGTGGTAACCTTTTTGTTTTTAAATGAAAATAACTCGAATTCTAAAATCGTGCAACTGATAAAAGCAAAAAATACCAATTATGTATGGCGATAGTGACAATTACATAAAAACAACATTTTTATCAAACGTTTATTTTAATAATAGAAGATAGTTTTTAGTTACGATAAAAGCGGAGTTTTTTCTGTTTAAATCAACAACAAATATAATTTATATGCATTTTTTAATTCCATGTGACAGACTGGTGGCGATTTATTTGTTGAATATATTGGAAATTTACATGTAATTGCATCATATACCTACACAATGTTACAGTTACAGAAATCAATTTTTGTTTATTTATGATGATTTCAATAATAAAAGTTCATAAAATATTGAACAAAAAATTGTCTCTTCAATTTTCATCATTTGCTCTCATTGATTTTTCATAGAACATGTTTTTTTTTTTAATAATTATAACTAACCAACTTCCAGCTATCCAAGTCAAAAATATTTACTTAAGAACCAGGGAAAACTTGAAATTGTTTTTCTTTTGTATAAAATTGCAAATAAACTTTTGAGATGTGTACTTGAATCTTATTTCCAATTATAATTATGTTTATCTAAAGAATAAACAAGAAATTTTCAGAAATGTAGGCGTATCGTCTTCCTTTTAGAAAAAGTGGCTACAAAAGTACCTAATAAGCCAATAAATAGAATAAATGTACATGTGAAAAATTTAAATGAAGCTAAAAATTGGTATGTTTATTCAATTCAATGTCCTGATGATCCTCTTTCAAATTCTAGCATTTTTTAGGGGTGTAATACTGCCACCATATCGTCATCATATGCTATTTATTAGTTGTATCATTTTTTGTATGATGGATCCTTTGATTTCACACTCTTGTATTATTCCCTCTACTGTTTGTAAGACTGTTTTTGATCTATTCAGGGCTGTCTTATTTAGATTTAATAGTTTTTGTGGTACTCCTAGTAATTTTGATCAATTAAGTAATTATTTTCTCTTTTTAATATCGAATGCTTGTATCTGTATCTATACCTGTAACGTGTGCAGAGTGGGTTAATCCAAGGCATTAGGCCTAACTAGGCCCATTGTGTATCCTCCTAAGTAGATGGCATCTCTTAGCCTATAGATTTAATGTAATTCATAACATCGCCAAGAGGTGCTTCTCTTATATCGCCCGGTGTTAGCCAATTATCGCCGAATATAAATCTTCTAATAAATGCTAGATGGTCTTATCTGCTTGTTCGCACCCCCTGTAGATTGCGGATTTTGACAGTCCCATGATATGGAGATTCTTCCGTACTTAGCAATGAGCAGCGTGATGGGGCGCAAATTATATCTAGTTATAATCAAGTATTTGTTCCCTATATTTATTATATTTTACATACATTTTTTGATTCTTTGTTTTACAGAAAAAAATCCTTTTGAGGGGAGGCATATTTAATTATTGAGGGGGCCCTCAATTTGTCGCTACTCCACTGATCTTGAGTCCACGTTGTTTATACATTACGCGTTCTCATTGATTAATACCACAGAACTGAAATTATTCATTTTATTCATTTAAAAACAATTTTTGGGACGATTAACCGCGCATTGTACAACCCGCCGTAAATTTTTTTCTGAAAACATTGTTATATATATTTTTTCAAATTATGACCCTGTTTGGCACCTACTGCATAAACTCAAAAAACCTCCATTTTATTCCCCTTGTAGGAACGTTTTTTTTAAACTGTCAAATCCATTCTCCTAATTTCAGAGACAACCCAGCTATGTATTTTTTTTGTTCGGTAAAAGTTGTTTGGGCGATTGCAACCACAACCAGTCTATGATGGCGCCACTAGTAAATAGCGGGAAAATTAAAAATGCTTTAGGGCTTGAAATTCAAACATGAATTCAGAAATAAATAGTTTTTTATGCAAATTTACAGGAGAAACAAAAACTATTCTTTCACTGTATATTAAACAATATAAAAGCTTCCAATAACATCAATTTTTTATCACATAAATAATCATTTTAATAAAGGAAGTTTTAATCAGTTTAATATAAGCAGTGAACATAGTTTTTATTACTCTTGTAATTTTCGCTAAAAAAAACTTAAGAACGCTATTGATTATTAAATATTTAAACTTGGAAAAATAATACACCAAACTCTTTTTCTATAAATTATATTTTTGTAAGGTATAGAAAAACAAACTACAAGTGCTACGTTTAGAAAGTACCTCGTGTCATTTTGTGAGCACCTGGCTAGCAGTAAAGATCACTTTAGATCTAAAATATTGTTATAGTCAGAGAGCAGGTTGATTAGGAAGTGATTGGGAATAAACAACACATTATATATACGTAAATCATGTTTAAATTAAAACTGATGTGCAGAATGTAATAACAACAGTCATATTTTTGTGTTTGACGATCTCCCGAACTATTATTTTATTAAAAAATTCTATTTAAATAAAGTAAAACTGTTCAACTCACCATCATTGTACAATTCCTCGTCATTTATAGATTCTGTACAATTTAATCTTCTACTCTCAATTATGTCGTTCAAAAGTTGAACCTCTTCTTCAGTCATCGTCGCCACTTTTACTGTCGTTTTTCCTTTATTTTTCTCCTTCTCCTATTTATTCTCAGAAACTAATTGCTGCTTGTTTGAATCGAAATGTTTTTTCTTGATATTGGAACCATGCTTGTTATGTTGCGGTCTGTATTGAAGTAGGGATGTTTTGTAAGGAATCTGGAACAAAACCACCGGTTGCTTTAAGAAGCCACACACAAAGAATTTTAATATAATTATAAACGTTTTATATTTTAATATTCTATTTAAAAAGAAGTGAAACGGGTGAAGACGTATTTGTAATTTTAATTTAATATGAATAACATTGTTTAGTATTGTTTTATTAATTGAGATCAAATATATAATATTAATCATAGCAATTATTATTTACAATAATGTGGATCGAAGTCAGTGCTGTAGTTAAGATTTTTTTAATTTTAATTTAGGATTGCAGATGTATAAATTATAGATAATATATAACAAAATAAAAATGGCGTTATAATTAAGTCAACAAAGTTAATTAATATCTACATATCAAAGGACTGAGCACTCTGCCTTATGTAAATAGTTCTCCGTCCATTTGCTAGAATGTTTGATATCATATAGTTTAGATTTTATATTTTCGAGTAGGTGGGTAATAAGTTAAATAATACTAGTTTATTCTTCTGTAGAATTTTAAAATTAAGTCTATTTATAAATAGAAATCATCATAAACTGTTTAGTAACTATTCATGTAATCAAAAAGTAATGACGAGAGAACATACAGCGAGGATCATTTACGAGGAGAACAAGAGTTCTGGTATATAGAGGGTAAATGGCTATTTAGTTACAAAAAAACATTCATATTTTCAAAATATTCTTGAATCCATAGAAGATTTGGGAATTCAATGTAGCCTTTAGTGGTATTATGTAAAAATTTGTTCCATAAAAAAATTATACTTTGTATACTTTTAACTTTGGACAATATTTTTTAATTCAGATGAAAATTGTTTTCGTTAAAATTTTATTCATAGTTTTTTTAGACTATAGACATTATTGAATGTTGGACTAGGTTAGACAACTAGAAGAAAAAATTAGATTTTAAAACTTTTGTTAATAAGTTTGATTAGCAATTAACCTATACATATGGCATACGACTGCGGTTATTATTACTTAACGGTCTTTAGAAATTCTTTATCATATTATTGTCAATTAAAACTCTCTTGATGTTATCTTAAAATTTGAAGTTTAATATCTCAACTTAACCCCTGCAATTTTCAGTATCTCCATCTGAAACTGCCCGAGTCTTCTCAGAAGCTGCCTCGAAAGGGTATGTAGTAAACAACATAAACAGAACTGTTCCATCTATAAATGTCATTTGTAAATATATTTTTTCTGTAGCAGGAAAACCTTTTATAAAATTACTAATTACTAATCAAATAATAGCTTATTTTTTCCTCTTCTCAAGAATAATAAAAATGTACCACATTTCCATTGTAAAACAAGGAAAAATTGTCAAAAACATAATACATAGTTACAATTATTTATAAAATTAATAACTAAAACAAAGAAAAACGCAAAAAAATAACATACTAAAATTTAAACAAATTCTGTCAGTACCCGAAATCAATGTAAAATGTGCGGAATCCTTTACTCGAAACTAATCGCCTGGTATTAAATCCTCGAATGTTGGCGACTTAGATTTAAGTACTTGGTAATTTTCCCATCTGAGAATATCCTTTTTACACAAAAATTTGCATATTTACGAGCGACAACTTGTAATTTGTCCACGTACTTTATAGGTTAACCAGCTTGTCCTGCCCGGATTATAAAATACGGTTTTCGCACTTTTCACCTTGAAAATAATAATCTCCCCACGACCGTATTAAGCAAATTTTCCAGTTACCGATACCAAATAAAATATTCTACATTTTTCTTTAGGGTTTCAAAGTTTCGCTTTACTGCTAAGAAAATCGAGTTGTCTCTACGTACCTCTAGATGCATTTAGACAAAATATTGTAATCTGTCTAACACCAATGCCCAACGACAGGAACAAACCTAGTATACAGGTCTAAGACTGCAGAAGGCACTGGGGCGGGAGTATTCTCCAAAAACCCTGATACTAACCATAGCTATGCTATAGGAATACATTCCTCGGTATTTCATACCGAGGAATGTATTCCCGAGGTATACGCAAATTTGCAATGTGCAAAAACGAACAATAAAAGAGCTGTTGAAAATCAGCATATTCAAATAATGTCAGACAGCCAAGCGACACTAAAGGCCATATTGAGTCAGAAAGTTACGTCAAGGCTAGTATGGGAATGCATCGAAGAACTAAGAACACTGGCAGACCGAAATAGAGCAAAACTATTTTGGGTTCCAAGTCACCAAGGGATCGAAGGCAACGAAAAGGCTGACGAACTTGCAGAAAGAGGGTCAGAAGAAACACCGGAACCAGACACAAACCCAGGAGTATAAAGTCCGGGGTTTCATAAACGACTGGATGCGGGAACAACATATCAACTATTAAGAAAGCACCCCAAAACAGGCACATGGAAAAGCCTTTATAGGCAGACCATGTCCCAAAAGAACTAGAGAACTACACTTTATGAATAGGAACCAGTTAAAAGTGATAATAGGGTTCATGACTGGGCACGCCCCAGTAAAGGGACACTTGAACAAAATTGGCATATACAATGGAAAACTCATGTACCGACTATGTCACAAGAAACCAGAAACGGCCAAACACATACTGTGCAAATGCGAAGCTCTAGATCGCAAAAGACAGGCTCTTTTTGGACAACTTCAGGTTGATCCAACAATCTATAGAACCCACTCACCCAAGGATATGTACAAACTTGTACAAGGTACAAAGGTAACAGAGTGAGTGGTATGAACTAACATGGGGTAAAACACAATAAGCCAATATGCTTCAGTGTGAGCTATATAAACTCGTTTAATTTGGTTTTGAAGGTTTTAAATTTAAATTCATTTGTAGAATAAGCGAATTTGTAAGTTTGGCGAGTTTTTTTGACGAATTATGAGACATAGACAAGCCCAGGAGAAAAAAAAACACTGGTGTAAAATTTATTTTATCTCGGAATTCTTTATAGCTTCGTAAAATGACCCCTGAGCTCCTGTTAGCAACAAGCAACATTGTTTCAATATGTTTAACAAAAGTTACTTCAGGATCAAAATAAACTCCGAGATCTCTTACGAATTCGGGTCGATTTAGAACCACTTTCTGTAGTTTATAATAAATTAGGTTCTACTTGTTTTGTAAAAGACATTACGAAACAATTCTCAAGATTTAGGGCCAGTCTTTTCACCTCTGAGTAAAGTTGAAAGTAACTACTTGCTGATTAAACTATAGAGCTGTTGTTTTTTAATCTGTCAAGTAAACCTATACATAAATTTACTCAGAGGTGAAAAGATCGGCCATTAGAAGAAGTGAATTATCGAGACACCACTTAGCAATGTTGGACAAACACCTTTGAAGTAGCAAACAATGGCTAACAGAGTAATTATTTTAGGTCGTCAACATGCATTTGAACTTTAATATGCTCGATGCTAGTGACTACATCATTTACAAAATTTATTAATAAAAAGGGACTGCGTCTAATATTTGCTTCAATTTTTTATACCTGTAATCACGGCATTGAATAAACTGATTGGATCAGATAAACTACTGGAAGTTTGCCAATGTAGCAAAACAGAATGATCAGTTTTATCGAAAGCTTTGGACAAATATGTGTATATTTCCAAAATGAATTGCTTCTAACAAACAAGGTTAGTAGCTGTAGGATCTATTTTACGTGAATCCATATTGGTCATGAATAATTATTTCGAATATCCCAGTTAAGGATGATTGTGGGTCGATAATTTCCAACATTATTTTTGCTTCCTTTTTTGTGTACTGGAATAATTAAGGAAGTGGCTAGAATAGTCCCTAACTGGGTGTATGCTTTTTAGAACCTTAATAACTTCATCTTAAAATACAGAATTAATAAATTAATGATAAATTCTTTAATGATCTAATTTATTTGAGTTGACTTCGAGAAACTACTTAAAACGTAATCCACAAAAGTTTGAACAATTGCCTGTTTTTTCTATACAATCATTATTGTATTCAACAGTAGTTTATATAGATTAAAATATGAACAGAATTTGGATCATTTTTAATATTATTTTCAATTGACCTTAAAAATAAAGTGTGAGCTATATAAACTCTTTTAATTTGGTTTTGAAGGTTTTAAATTTAAATTCATTTGTAGAATAAGCGAATTTGTAAGTTTGGCGAGTTTTTTTGACGAATTATGCGTATATAATGACCATTAAACTAAGGAGGACAAATCCTACAGTTGGCGTTTTTAACAGGTAAATGCTGATTAAAAATAATAAACATATTGGAACACTTTCATCAACACTGCTCGCAGGATAAAGAAAAGTCTATTAATAATAATAATAATACTTTCCCTAATTTAACCCCTTACGGGTGAATTTCAACCCCTGAAGTTGACTGAACGACTTGTGTAGGAGAAGGGACGACTATTATTATTTGCCGTGGCGCTTCAAGGCGACTTAAAGATGAATAATGATGCCATTTGACTTACAGGTGAGGAAAACCCAAGAAAACCTCACCCACCATCATCGAGACGTTAACAAATGCCGATTTTATAATCTGCATATCATATCAACATAAATTGAATTTCTATTAGTAAGGCACACATCAAATCCTATAACGAGCCATGCAATTTAATTAAAAATACCCATGGTTTGGTGTAGAATTCGAAGACTCTCTGTCTCTGCCCACAAACTTGCCTATAAATGAATATGAGCGCATCAGAACGCTACGCCATTGACCAGATATTGAATAGTATGGGAATTTCTATAATTATAATGCAGATATTTTGGTCTATATTGTGAACTGTTACCTCTAATTTTAGTCGGGGCTTCAATACTCAAAGAGAGGTGATAATCATCTTCCTCTAAGACTATTTTATCGGCTTTATAGACATTAAGAAAACTAATTCTATAGTCTATTTTTATGTATGAGAGAGTATTAAAATAATAAAGCGTTCGTAATCCATAGGCGTATCACTTCTTTTAGTAGACAGTTAAAATATTTTTTTAAGGTATTCCTCGAGTATACAATTATATTTTCACCTAATTAACCTGCTTATAACTTCTAAACAGCT